CCTAGACCCTACACCCTAACCCTAAATCCTAAACCTTGTTTCTATGGTCTTCAGGAGGCCGGAAGTTCTTTCAGAGTTCTGAGTTCGAGGATACCACTGAGAGTTTCTGTCCTTGGTGCTGGTTACCCTCAGCCCTAGAACCCTGGACCCTAGAACCCTGGAGCCCTAGAGCCCTGAAGCCTTAGAGCCCTAGAAATCCTAGACCCCTGAACCCCCAGACCCCTAAAGCCCCTAAAGCCCTAAAGCCCTAAAGCCCAAAGGCCCTAGAGGGTTTAGGGCAGGGTCCTGATCCTGGACCCTACCCGCCCTAAACCCTGGTTTAGGATTTCGGGCTTTCGGGGTGGCAGGCACAGGCTGCTGGAAGATTCGCGCCTGCCGGGAACGAAAGCAGCCGGGACCCGAGTTTGGGGGCGGGGTGTAGTTTCTAGGGTTACCCTATGGGTCCAAAGGACCCAATATTCAGGTACTTAGGTTTCGGATAGTAGTTATGTGGGTTTCTGTTTGGGAGAGTATATGACTATTAGGTACTTGGACCCTGAGGGTTACAGTTGTAAGGGGGTTCTGGATTTAGGGTTCAGCATTAGGATTTTGGGGTTTGGGGTTCATTAGTAGTTGGTCTTTGGGAAAAAGAGTTAATGGCTTACTGTAGGATTTTCGGTAGCGTTTAAGATCAAGAGTCATGAAGGTTTGGGACTGTGGTTCCATGGGTTGGGGGCAACCGACGAGTGGGTAGACGAGTTTCATGCAGCTCGACTTCTTAAGATGTCCTGTATTGTAGGTAGGGATGCTTCCCCAGTTTTTCGCCTTAGACCGTCTAGACCCTCAATAAAGCCCAAGCCTTAGATTACAGGGTTGCAGGATGACGAGATCAAGCGAGTGATGGATGATGACCGACCACAGTCGCGGCCCGATGAGGAGCATGCCGGCTTCAGCACCGAGGACGGTGCCGCGACCAGGGCACACTGTGAGCAGCACATCCAGCAGCAGCTGGAGATTCTCGCGCAGCAGTCGGCCGATTCTGCTCGTGTCTTGCAGGCACAACAAGCGCGCTGTCTGCGGGCCCAGCAGCATCTGGACTTCAGCACGGTGCCGCATTTGTTCGGCCTTCTGCACACTGCGACGCAAGGGCTCATGCTGCTGGCAGAACAGACGGCCGCGCTTGCACATCGCCAAGAGGAGACGCAACGGCACTTCGAGATGATGATGCTTGCACCGCGGCGACACCACCGGGAGGCCAAGGACAGCTGAGCCAGCGCAGACCCCTGATAAATAAGCCTCCTTAAAGCACAGGTCAATATCATCAAATCTTTAACGCCATGCCCTAAACCCTAAACCCTAAACCCTCATCCTTACTCCTGCTTAGTTCGGCAATACTTTGCCTTCAACCTTGGCTCGTACCACCTGGTGCTCGCCTGATAGCTTAACCTTCTGTCTTCGTGCGGTATTCAAAAAGTAGGCTGGTAGCTTAAGCCCGAAAGCCTAAAGCGTATACAACCTAAATTTGAAATGCGAGTGAAACGAGGCTGCGAACCTCAGCAAGGCAGTTGCAGACTTGGTCGCTTGGCAGCAGGGCTTCTCCTACATGGGCTTACAAATCCCGTTTTTGTTCTTTTACTAGGACTGATATATGATATTCTTGGGTTTTCAGAGGTGTATATTGCTGCTTTTAAAAAGGGTTTGCGAGTTTTTGCTTGGGCTTTGTAGTTTTTTGGGTGCGTCCTACAGGGCTTTATGGGCACAATAGTTGGGCATCGAAGTATGTCAACGACGCTTATGTGTCCTAGTCCTAGAAGCCTTTCTGGAGAGTGGGTTTAGGGTGTAAGGAAAGAGTTCATGTCATCAGCGTGAACATGTCCTGCAGCATGTCCCGTTGTGTATGTGTAAATATATCAATATACATACTTATCATGAGACATCAACAAGGCTCGATTCGATACATCAACAATCGACAGACAGAACAGCACAAGGCACCCTAAACCCGACACCCTAAACCCTAAACGCCCGCCAGAACGTCCCGAACTGTGCGTTTATTTATCCTCGAACCATGTGCACAGGGCCCAAATAATTACCAATACTGTCTTGGGGGTTCCTTATTCTAGTTCTACTATAAAGGAGCCCACATCCCTATTCTGATTATCAAGGCCCCTACAGTAGAACCCTATCATAGATCCCTTATAGAGCCCTTTTAGTGATCCCTTTAAAGGGCCCTAAAACCCTGTTCTAATTATCAAGGCCCCTATATACCCTCAACCCCAGGCCCAAACCCTAAACCCTAACCCTAAACCCTAAAGCCTATTCTAATTTTTTAAGGCCCCTACATTAGG